TGCAGAAGGAGAAGCAGGACTTCAATGAGATCTTTGCTCCCACTGCCAAACCCCCTACCCTCCATGTCTTGTTGGCAGATGCAGCCGTAAATGGGAAATTCATCATTCAGATAGATATTTCAACGGCATTCCTGAATGGGATTTTAGAGGAGGATGTGTACATGACGCAGCCGCCTGGGTATGAGGATGGTACAGGCAGGGTGTGCAAGCTGAAAAAGTCCATCTATGGTTTGAAGCAGGCGCCACGCTGCTGGTACCAGAAGTTGGCAGCTGTTTTAGAGGAGATGGGATTCAGGACCAGTAGCTGTGATGAGAGCCTCTTTCTCAAGGGCGAAGGGGAGAAGCTGGTGCTGTTTCTGGTCTATGTAGACGACATTCTTCTCTTCTTAGAAGTGGCTGGCTTCTAATGATGCTGAGTACCAGAGCCTGCTAGAGAATGGGACATGGGATCTGGTGGTGCTGCCTGAGGGGAAGAAAGCGGTACAATGCGAGAGGGTGCTGAGGATCAAGACCGATGACAAGGGGCAGGTCACCATCTACAAGAGTAGGCTGGTGGCTAAAGGGTTTCAGCAGAAGGAGAAGCAGGACTTCAATGAGATCTTTGCTCCCACTGCCAAACCCCCTACCCTCTGTGTCTTGTTGGCAGATGCAGCCGTTAGTGGGAAATTCATCATTCAGATCGATATATGAACAACATTCCTCAACGAGATTTTAGAAGAGAAGGTGTTCATGACGCAGCCGCCTGGTTATGAGGATGGTACGGGCAGGGTGTGCAAGCTGAAAAAGTCCATCTACGGCTTGAAGCAGGCACCACGTTGCTGGTACAAGAAGTTGGCAGCTGTTTTGGAGGAGATGGGATTCAGGACCAGCAGTTGTGATGAGAGCCTCTTTCTCAAGGAGAAGGGGAGAAGCTGGTGCTGTTTCTGGTCTACGTGGATGACATTCTTCTCTTCAGCAGCAGCATAAAGGAGATCCAGAAAGTGCAGCAGCAGCTGATGGAGAACTTCAAGTGCAAGAACCTTGGGGAGGTAAAATACTACCTCGGGATGCACGTGGAGAGGGATCCAGTTCACAGGTGGTTGAAAGTGAAGTTTATCAAGGAGCTGGGGGAGAAGTACAGGATTGAGAACGAGCGCAAGGTTGCAGCTCCCTACCAGCAGAATCCAAGCTTGTGAAGGTTGCAGAGGATGAAGGGGTTGAAGCCGAGGAGCAGCAGAAATTTCAGTCCTTGGTGGGCAGCCTCTTGTATGCAGCAGGTCATACGAGGCCATAAATATCTTTCTTGGTTGGGCAGCTGGCTATGATGGTGCAGAATCCATCAGAGGAGCAGGTGGATGCAGCTAAGCCCGTGGTGAAGTACTCTCATCTGAGCATTGGAGTTCAAAACTCCGCATCCACATAGGTGAAGCAGAAAGGGGTGAAGTGCTTGCTGAAGGAGAAGGGGGAGCGGCTTGGAGAAGGCAAGCTTATACTTACTTGCCGATGCTACTTGGGCTTCTGAGAAGGAGGATTACTCATCTGTGGGAGGTTACAACTGTGTAGTTGGGGAAGAATCTGTTACTTAGAGGTCACGAAGCAGACGGAGACGGCACTATCCTTTGTTGAATCAGAGTATATGGCGATGTTCCATGGGGTAAAGGAGGTGATTTGGCTGAGGAGGCTGTTAGGGGAGATTGGCCATGAACAGAAGGTTGGTACGCCACTGTCTTGTGACAGCAAGGGGGCTCTTGGGATGGCCAGGAACGCTGTGCTTCATGGGCTGAACAAGCACATGCGTATCAAGTGGCACTGGCTGCGTAAGGAGGTGAAGAGGGGGATGGTGAGTTCGATCTATATCAAGACTCACCAGCAGCCAGCAGACTTCCTCACCAAGAGGCTTGCAGATGAGCCTCAATGGCGTTGCATGCGCATGAGTGGAATAAGCATGAACTAGCATGGAATGATGGAAATGCAGCCGGCAGGCTGAGGGGGAGTGTGTTGGGTGCAAATGCACATTGCACGATATCCTGCCGTCTGTCGCTCTACAAAAGATAGGGGCTGGTCTTGTACCGGGCACCTAAGGACCCTTGGAGGTGACCCCGAGGAGAGGTTTCAAATTCGATTACATCTTAATAACTTGACTTAATAAGGCCCTTACACAACAGATGGTACTATAAGTAAGTGCGACTTACCCATGTAGATGGTACCAAAAGTAAGTGCGTTACTTACCCATGTGGATGGTGCTTTAAATTTTTGCAGTACTTATCCATGCGGGTGGTACTAAGAGTAAGTGCATTACTTACCCGTATGGATGGTACTAGGAGTAAGTTCGTTACAAATCCATGTGGATGGTACTAAGAGTAAGTGCGTTACTTACCCATGTAGATGCCCCTACGAGTAAGTGCGTTTCTTACCCATGTGGATGGTACTAAAAGTAAGTGCGTTACTTACCCATGTGGATGGTACTATGCGTTACTTAACCATGTGGTTGGTACTAAGAGTAAGTGTGTTACTTACCCATGTGGATGGTACTAGGAATAAATGTGTTTCTTACACATATGGATGGTACTAAGAGTAAGTGCATTACTTACCATGTGGATGGCGCTAAGAGTATGTGTGTTTCTTACCAATGTGGATAGTACTAAGAGTAACTTGTCCATGTGCATAATGCTAAGTGTATGTGCATTATTTAACCAAGTGGATGGTACTAAGAGGTTGTGCGTTGTTTACTGATGTAGATTGTAATAAGCGAAAGTGCGTTATTTTCCCTTGTGGATGGTACTAAGAGTAAGTGCATTACTTACCCATATGGATGGTGCTAAGAGTAAGTGCGTTTCTAATCCGTATAGATGGTACTGACAGTAAGCGCGTTACTTATCCATGTCGATGGCGCTAAGAGTAAATGTGCTTCTTACTTATGTGGATGGCCCTAATAGTAAGTGCGTTACTTAAACATGTGCATGGTGCTAAGAGTATGTGCGTTACTTAACCATGTGGATGGAACTGGATGGATGTTCGTTGTTTACCGATGTGGATGGTACTAAGAGTAAGTGCGTTATTTACCCATGTGGATGGTACAAAGGGTATGTGCGTTAGTTAACCACGCGGACGATACTAAGACTATATGCGTTACTAAACCATGTGGATGGTGCTAAGAGTATATGCGTTACTTAACCATGTGGATGTTACTAGAAGTAAGTGCGTTACTTACCCATGTAGATGGTACTAAGGGGAAGTGCGTTACTTACCCATGTGAATGGTACAAAGAGTTTGTGAGTTACTTTCCCATGCAAATGGTGCTAAGAGTATGTGCATTGCTTAACCATGTGGATGGTGCTAAAAGTTTGTGCGTTATTTAGCCATTTAGATGTTACTAAGAATAAGTGCGATACTTACCTATATAGATGATACTAAGAGTAAACGCGTTACCATGTGGATGGCACTAAGAGTAAGAGCGTTACTTACTCATGTGTATGGTGCTAGGAGTATGTGTGTTGGTACTAGAAGGAAGTGCGTTGTTTACCGATGTGGATGGTACTAACAGTAATTGCGTTACTTACCCACGTGGATGGTACAAAGAGTAAATGCGTTAGTTAACCATATGGATGATACTAGTTACTTACCCACGTGGATGGACCTTAGAGTGTGTGCGTTACTAAACCATGTGGATGGTGCTAAGAATTTTTGCGTTACTTACCCATGTGGATGGTACTAAGAGTATGTGCGCGACGTAACCATGTGAATGGTACTAAGTAAAGTGCGATACTTACCCATGTGCATGGTGCTTAGAGTATGTGTGTTAGTTAACTATGTGAATAGTAAGTGCGGTACTTACCCGTGTGGATGGTGCTAAAAATTTGTGCATTACTCAACCATGTGGATGGTACTACGAATAAATGCGTTACTTACCCATGCGGATTCTACATAGAGAAAGTGCGTTACTTACCCATGTGGATGGTACTAGGAGTAAGTGCGTTACTTACACATGTAGGTGGTACTAAGAGTAAGCGCGTTACTTACCCATGTGGATGGTGCTAAGAGTAAATGCGTTAGTTAGCCATGTGCATGGTGCTAAGAGTATGTGCGTTAGGTAACCATGTGGATGGTACTAATAGTAAGTGCGTTACTTGCCCATGTGGATGGTGCTAAGAATTTGTGCAATACTTCACCATGAAGATGGTACTAAGAAGAAATGCGCTAATTACCCATGTGGGTGGTACTAAGAGTAAATACGTTACTTACCCATATGGGTTGTACTAAGATTAAGTGCGTTACTTACCCATGTGGATGGTACTAGAAGTAAGTGCGATATTTACCTATGTAGATAGTACTATTGTAAGTGCGTTACTTATTCAAATGGATTATGCTAAGAGTAAATGGGATTTTAACCATATGGATGGTACTAAGAGTAAGTGCATTTTCTACCCTCGCGGATGGTGCTAAGAGTTGCGTTGTTTAACCATGTGGATGGTACTAAGAGTAAGTGCGTTACTAAGCCATGTGCATGGTGCTAAGAGTACGTGAGTTACTAACCATGTAGATGGTGCTAATAGTAAGTGCGTTATTTACCCATGTATATGGTACAAAGATTAAGTGAGTTACTTTCCCATATAGATCGTAATAAAAATAAGAGCTTATCTTACCCATGTTTATGTCAACGGGAGTTGTGTGTTGGCCCCGTCCTCGCTTGGGCGGAGCCGACTTCGTGGTCGGGTGTAGGGGTGTAGCCAACCTGTAGCAGTGGGCGAGCTGGTCGACGGGGTTGGTCGACCTGCACGGGGAGCCACTGCATGGGCGCCGACTTCGGGAGTGCGCCAACTTCGGGATACTCTATGATCCTGTAAGCGAGACCATCTACGCATACTCGGAGCAGCAGCAGCCACTACTCCTCGAGGTGATCTGCAACGGGCGATGCCTCCAGGCACTGGTGGACAGCGGTGCGTCCCATTCGGTGTGTGACCGTGGGACGTTGGAGAAAATTGAAGAGAAAGCGGAAAAAACCCAATTTTCAGCGACTGGCAATGGTGGACGGTACGAAGCTTCCCATCCATGGCGAAGCATCACTGCAGCTGCATATAGGTGCGTTACGATGGAAGCCGACGTTGCCGATCACGAACATCAAGGGATTAGACTTCATCTTGGGGCGAGATTTCCTGAAGCGGTTCAACCCCGAGATCGATTGGGTCAATCGGAAGGCGTGCATCTACAACAACGGGAAACGAGTGGAGCTGCGAAGCTGGATGGATACAGGGGATGTTCCTGAAACGACACTGGCACGGTTCGAACAGACGGTGAACGAGAGTAACACGGGTTACCTCGCACTAGTCATGGCAGCAGCAGAAGAGGTGAAACCGGGTTCCGAGCTACCCGCAGCAGTGAAAGAGGTCTTGGAGCAGTACAAAGATATAATGCCCGACGACCTACCTGCAGGCGTACCTCCTGCACGCACCCACGAGCACGAGATCGTGGAGGAACCAGGTGCGAAACCCGTCTCACGTGCACCATACCGACTGAGTCCGACCGAACTGACAGACATGAAAAAACAGATCGAATATTTACTGGACAGACAACTGATCCGCCCATCCACCTCTCCCTACGGAGCACCAGTTCTCTTCATACCTAAACCAGACGGCAGTTTACGGATGTGCATCGACTACCGCGCACTGAACAAACAGACAGTTAAAAACAAATACCCCATACCGCGCATCGACGACTTACTGGACCAACTGCGTGGTGCAACAGTTTTCTCGAAGCTGGACCTACGGTCGGGTTACTGGCAGATCAAGATGGCGGACAACTCGATCCACAAGACGGCGTTCCGTACGAGATACGGCTCCTACGAGTACTTAGTGATGCCGTTCGGACTCTGCAACGCACCAGCGACGTTCCAGGCGGAGATGAACCACATCCTACGGCCCTTGCTGGACGAGTGCGTAGTAGTGTACCTGGACGACATTCTTGTTGGGTGCAAATGCACATTGCACGACATCCTGCCGTCTGTTTGTACGAGTATGCGTGTGCGAATGCATTTGCGTGTGAATGGTGTGTTCGTGTGTTTGTTTGCTTTCGCATTTTTCGCTTGATGCATTTGCAGGTACTCGCGCAATGTGCGCTTTGGCACAACATTGTACGCGCTATGAACAGTGCAAGCAGAAAGGACGAGCTCGCAAAGGAACCCAAGATGGAAGCTTTGCAGTTCGGTTGAGTTGATTGCGCAGATTCAGTTCTATCCAACTCGAAATTGTACTGTTTTGTTTGGTTAACTATAGTGTAGCAGGGCAGGCACTATAGGGGTACAATTTAGGTGAAGGTTGGATGTTGTTTGTCTGTATCTGCATGCTACAAGGCCAGGGGAAACCAGCGGAACCAGCATTTGGCTGGTTGGGCAAAGACAAAACAGGTTCTGTTTTTAGAACCTGAACCTGGTTGTTGTTTTCCCAGGTTGGAAAAACAGAACCAGAGGTTGTTTACCAACCTACCACCTGCTATTTTGTCCAGCCAGGTTGGTTCTGTTGCTTGGAATTATTTGGGATCATCCCTGGTTGTTCCCAGGTTGATTCCCAAGGTCCTTGCTAGCTAGAACTATTTAATCCTTCTCTGTTTGTACCTGAATATAGTCAAATTGATTCATGTGAATTCCTTCCTCGCTGGAATTTCGTTTCTACGCGGTTCGTTGGCGGAATGCTACCCGAGTCAACGCTAGTACGCTAGCACTCTAATGCTAGGCAAACACCGTCTGAGCCATAACTTCGTAATGGCAGAACTTTTCGCGAGGCAACTTGGCTCATTTTAAAGCTCCTGGAGCGAGCTTCGATATAGCGAATTCTCAGCTTAATCCGATCGACGGTCTGCACGGCACGCTGCGCGACGTTCAAGGTACTCTTGCTGTTTTGACTAAGTCCTTCTTGATCCCTCTCTCTACAAACTCGGACCCGAGGATAGGGGCTGGTCTTGTACCAGGCACCCAGGGACCCTTGGAGGTGACCCCGAGGAGAGGTTTTAAGTTTGATTAAGTCCTAATAGCTTGAGTTTATTAGGCCCTTACACCAACAAGCTGGTATCAGAGCTGCGTTATAGTGATCCTCGTTATAGGTAGCTATGGCGGGCAACACCTCGGCGGGAGCTGGTGAATCTTCAGCCCAAGATCGTAGCGGCAGCCAAGATTCTGGTCTTTCAGCGCCAAGGGGAGCGCGAACAAACCAGGGCTCGCTTGTCAAGGAGGTGCTGAAGAATTTCACCGTCGAGAAGTTCAATGGTGAGGGCTATGATGATTGGGCCTGGAAAATGCAATTATATTTCCGTCAGATCGGTTTGCTGAAACTAATGATTGGGGAGGAGCCTAGACCGAGTGACCCCACGCTGCAGGAAGATTGGGACGAGCGCTCCTCGGCTGGCTACTATTTGATGTCGCAGAGTTTGGAGCTGAACCAGCGTCACCACGTCATGCACCTGCTGCCGGAGGTTGAATGCGGTCCGAAGGCGTGGACCGTGTTGAAGGAGCTGCACGCCCCGACCTCCGTTGTCGCAACGTTGATGCTGGAGAGGGAGCTGTCCGCGTTGCGCCTGAGCGAGGGAGAGCCGGTGCAACCAGTCCTGGACAAGATGCGCGACCTCTACGCGAAGTTGGCGACTGCGGGAATCACCTACCCGGAGCAGACCAAGTGCTTGAAGATGCTCTCGCTGCTGCCAGAATCGTGGCTTCAATTTACGAGCGGATTGAGCCTGCCGCAGAACCAGAGCTTGTGGACGCTCGAGTGGGTGCGGACGAAGATTCTGGAGGAGGACTTCCGTCGCCGCCAACTGAGGGGTGGAGACGACGGCAGCAGCGGCTACGGGATGCAAGGGAGCCGACGTGGCAGAGAACGTGGCTTCGGTGGTGCTGGACGCGGTGCAAAGAAAGACGACGACTCCAACGACCAACAAGGAGGTACCGGTTGGGGTCGCGGTGCGAAATCTGGACGTGGGGGCAAGTCGGGTGCTGGTGGCAAAATGAAAGGGAGTTGCTGGTATTGTGAGAAGGAAGGGCACCCCTGGTTTTTGTGCTATAAGAAACCCGATGGATGGACCCCCCAGAATCGTCACCAGGATGGCGGCGCGCGGAGGAACCAGAAAAACGGCGCCAACATGGTCGCTGATTCGTCCGACAACAACCCGAAGGGCAACGGCGGTGCGGAGAAGAAGAAGGAGCGCACCGCGGGCCAATTCTTCCATGTGGGAGACAAGGGGGAGCAAGGAGACGCCTCTGCCAAAGTTGGAGAAGAGCTGCACCCCCTAGACTATTGGGTGTTGGACACAGGCGCTGCTTGGACGATGACGCCGCGCAAGGACCTGCTGGACGAAGTACGAGCTGCACCGATCAATGAAGTGTGCTCTGCCTCTGGACACATGTTGAAGGTGGCTGGTGCGGGACGAGCTGCGTTTAAGGGAGCGGATGGCAAGCCGGTGGTGCTGCACGACGTTCTCTTCGTCCCCGACCTGAAGGCCAACCTTATCTCCCTCCGTAAGCTTGGCAAGGCTGGGGTGAACACCAACACGGATGGGGCACGCACTTATAAGGGGAAGCTGGGCAATCGGGTGCTTTGGGATCTGCACGAGAGCAAGGACGTGTACAGATCTATGTGGCAGCTGCCGGCCCTGGCGTGGCATGGTGGGGGGCAGGCTGGAGAGGGGTCTGCATCCCAGGGGGAGTGCAATGCCGTTGGAGGGGTTGGTGTGAAAGTGTCGGCCAGATCTGGGGAGACAGATTGGGCAACGGCACACCGGCGCTTAGGGCATGTGGCAATGCCTTTGCTGAAGCAGCTGGAGAAGGACGGAGCCGTTAAGGGTCTGAAGCTGAACGGACAGCCACCCGATGACAACTGTGAAATCTGTTTGCTTTCAAAGTTCACCCGTTTCCCTTTCCATAGTGTGGCTGGCAGGAGCAAGAAGCCTTTGGAGCTGGTCCACATGGACTTGGTGGGGCCGCTGCCGGTGCAAGGGCACAAGGGGGAGCGGTATTTTCTTACAATTGTGGATGACTAGAGCAGGCTGATGTGGGCGTATCCGCTGAAGCAGAAGGACCACGCCGCCTCCACGATACGGGACGATTGGCTGCCATTCGTGGAGAAGCAGGCGGAGTGTGTAGTGAAGCGGATTAGGACAGACCGGGGTGGTGAGTTCCTTGGAGCTGAAATGACGGCCTGGCTCAAGAAGCAGGGCATCCAGAGAGAGCTGACCACGGCTTATACCCCACAGTCCAATGGTGTAGCAGAACGGGCAAACCGGACCATTCTGGAGACAGCTAGGGCGCTGCTCATAGAATCTGGGCTGAGCAATTCTATGTGGCCTCATGCTGTCCGGCACGCCACTGTCGCTAGGAACAGGGTGCTCACCAAGGTTGGGGATGACTCGTGGGTGCCGTTGGAGAGGTGGCTTGGGAGGAAGCCGCCGGTGGATATGCTGAGGGTGTTTGGCTGCATGGCAGTCGCCCACGTCCCCAAGACCTACCGCAGTAAGTTGGGGGCGAGTGCAATCTGGTGTGTGCATTTGGGGCTGGCTGCTGAGAGCAAGGGATGGCTGCTGTGGGAACCATCCAAGGGTGTGTTGTTTGACAGCAGGGATGTGAAATTCATTGAGGGCATGATGTATGGGAGCTGGGAGAAACAGCCGGAGGCAAGGGTGTCCCAGCAGATGGAGCAGATCACCATGCAGCTGGACCTGACTCCTAGTGTGTGGGAGGAGGGAGAGGAGGCAGCTGGTGGAAATGGTGATGGAGAGAAGGTACAGGAGGCATCTGCTGGTGGAGAAAATGGTGTGGAAACTGGCGGCAGCACTAGTGGAGCTGCTGGACCCGAGGGAGGAGAGAAGCAGCAGGGAAAAACTAAGAAGCCGAAGGGTGTCGTTATGAAGGGATGGGAGACACCCGTCTCCAGGCCAGGACGTACCCGTATGGCTACTAAGAAGCTGACTGCAGGAACTGATGCAGCAGAGCAGCAGCTAGGGACCGAAGAGGCATTGCTGATTCTACCTCATGGCTATGACCCGGATGAGGAGGATGAGCCTGCGTACTGTTTTCTTGCCCCTGCACCAGAGGAACCAGCTAGCATGGAGGAGGCATTAGCTGGACCAGATAGGGACAAGTGGCTGGCTTCTAGGGATGCTGAGTACCAGAGTCTGCTGGAGAATAGGACATGGGATCTGGTGGTGCTGCCTGATGGGAAGAAAGCGATACAATGCAAGTGGGTGCTGAGGATCAAGACCGATGACAAGGGGCAGGTCACCATCTACAAGAGTAGGCTGGTGGCGAAGGGGTTTATGCAGAAGGAGAAGCAGGACTTCAACGAGATCTTTGCTCCCACTGCCAAACCCCCTACCCTCCGTGTCTTGTTGGCAGATGCAGCTGTTAGTGGGAAATTTATCATTCAGATGGATATTTCAACGGCATTCCTGAATGGGATTTTAGAGGAGGATGTGTACATGACGCAGCCGCCTGGGTATGAGGATGGTACGGGCAGGGTGTGCAAGCTCAACAAGTCCATCTACGGCTTGAAGCAGGCGCCACGCTGCTGGTACCAGAAGTTGGCAGCTGTTTTAGAGGAGATGGGATTCAGGACCAGCAGCTGTGATGAGAGCCTCTTTCTCAAGGGCGAGGGGGAGAAGCTGGTGCTGTTTCTGGTCTATGTGGACGACATTCTTCTCTTCAGCAGCAGCATGAAGGAGATCCAGAAAGTGCAGCAGCAACTGATGGAAAACTTCAAGTGCAAGAACCTTGGGGAGGTAAAGTACTACCTCGGGATGCACGTGGAGAGGGATCCAGATCACAGGTGGTTGAAGCTGCACCAGGAGAAGTTCATCAAGGAGCTGGGGGAGAAGTATGGGATTGAGAATGAGCGCAAGGTTGCAACTCCCCTGCCAGCAGAATTCAAGCTTGTGAAGGCTGCAGAGGATGAAGGGGTTGAAGCTGAAGAGCAGCAGCAATTTCAGTCCTTGGTGGGCAGCCTCTTGTACGCAGCAGTTCACACGAGGCCCGACATCTCTTTCTCGGTTGGGCAGCTGGCTAGGGTGGTGCAGAATCCATCAGAGGAGCAGGTGGATGCAGCTGAGCGTGTGGTGAAGTACCTGAACTCTCACCCAAGCATTGGAGTTCAATACTCCGCATCTGCACAGGTGAAGCAGAAAGGGGTGGAGGTGCTGAAAGAGAAGGGGGAGAGGCTTGGAGAAGGCAAGCTATTTCTCACTTGCTTTACCGATGCTACGTGGGCTTCTGAGAAGGAGGATTCCTCATCTGTGGGAGGATACATCTGCGTAGTTGGGGGAGGACCTGTTAGTTGGAGGTCCAAGAAGCAGACGGAGACGGCACTCTCTTCCGTAGAATCAGAGTACATGGCGATGTTCCATGGGGTGAAGGAGGTGATTTGGCTGAGGAGGCTGTTAGAGGAGATTGGCCAGGAGCAGAAAGTTGCTACGCCGCTGTTTTGTGATAGCAAGGGGGCTCTTGGGATGGCCAGAAACGCTGTGCTTCATGGGCTGAACAAGCACATGCGTATCAAGTGGCACTGGCTGCGTAAGGAGGTGAAGAGGGGGACGGTGCATCCGATCTACATCAAGACTCACCAGCAGCCAGCAGACTTTCTCACCAAGAGGCTTGCGGATGAGCCTCATTAGCGTTGTGTGCGCATGAGTGGAATGAGCATGAACTAGCATGGAATGACGGGGATGCAGCCGGCAGGCTGAGGGGGAGTGTGTTGGGTGCAAATGCACATTGCACGACATCCTGCCGTCTGTTTGTACGAGTATGCGTGTGCGAATGCATTTGCGTGTGAATGGTGTGTTCGTGTGTTTGTTTGCTTTCGCATTTTTCGCTTGATGCATTTGCAGGTACTCGCGCAATATGCGCTTCGGCACAACATTGTACGCGCTATGAACAGTGCAAGCAGAAAGGACGAGCTCGCAAAGGAACCCAAGATGGAAGCTTTGCAGTTCGGTTGAGTTGATTGCGCAGATTCAGTTCTATCCAACTCGAAATTGTACTGTTTTGTTTGGTTAACTATAGTGTAGCAGGGCAGGCACTATAGGGGTACAATTTAGGTGAAGGTTGGATGTTGTTTGTCTGTATCTGCATGCTACAAGGCCAGGGGAAACCAGCGGAACCAGCATTTGGCTGGTTGGGCAAAGACAAAACAGGTTCTGTTTTTAGAACCTGAACCTGGTTGTTGTTTTCCCAGGTTGGAAAAACAGAACCAGAGGTTTTTTACCAACCTACCACCTGCTATTTTGTCCAGCCAGGTTGGTTCTGTTGCTTGGAATTATTTGGGATCATCCCTGGTTGTTCCCAGGTTGATTCCCAAGGTCCTTGCTAGCTAGAACTATTTAATCCTTCTCTGTTTGTACCTGAATATAGTCAAATTGATTCATGTGAATTCCTTCCTCGCTGGAATTTCGTTTCTACGCGGTTCGTTGGCGGAATGCTACCCGAGTCAACGCTAGTACGCTAGCACTCTAATGCTAGGCAAACACCGTCTGAGCCATAACTTCGTAATGGCAGAACTTTTCGCGAGGCAACTTGGCTCATTTTAAAGCTCTTGGAGCGAGCTTCGATATAGCGAATTCTCAGCTTAATCCGATCGACGGTCTGCACGGCACGCTGCGCGACGTTCAAGGTACTCTTGCTGTTTTGACTAAGTCCTTCTTGATCCCTCTCTCTACAAACTCGGACCCGAGGATAGGGGCTGGTCTTGTATCAGGCACCCAGGGACCCTTGGAGGTGACCCCGAGGAGAGGTTTTAAGTTTGATTAAGTCCTAATAGCTTGAGTTTATTAGGCCCTTACATCAACAATTCTCATCTACTCCAAGAACATGAAGGAGCACGTGGAGCATCTGCGGAAGGTTTTCGAGATCCTGCAGAAAACCAGGTTCTACGTAGTTGAAGCAGACGCTAGTGACCAGGCAGTCGGAGCAGTACTGATGCAGGATCACGGGAACGGTTTACAGCCTATCGCCTACCTCAGTAAGAAACTACACGGAGCTGAACTGAACTACCCCATTTACGACAAGGAAGCCTTCCCTATAGTCGTAGCCTTCAAGGCGTGGAGGTGTTACCTAGAGGGAGCCAAGACCACAGTATACACTGACCACTGCAGCATCAAATACCTGAAGTCACAGCCGACGCTCTCACGACGACAGGTGCGGTGGGTGGATTTCTTGGAGACCCACTTCCACTACGACATCGTCTACAAACCCGGGCTACACAACAAAGCAGACGCGTTGAGCCGCCCAGGTCATGTAGCAGGCATCCAGCTCGACGGGATGAACCCTCTGCTCAAGGGTCTATTCCAATATGGGTACTCCATGGACGGTGAAATAGCAACGGCAGAGAAACAGAAGCTGTTACAGTGGGAGAAAGGCTTCGCGGTAAGGAAGGGTTCAGGAAAGATTTGGGTACCGAATTATGCCCCGCTACGGCAGATCCTACTGGAGGAGTTCAGGACGTACCATATGCGGGACATTTCGGGAGCAACAGGACGTTGGCGGGAATAGCGAAGTATTACTACTGGCCCCGGATGGCAGCAGAGATGCAGCAGTTCGTCACCTCCTGCGACACGTGCCAGCGGATGAAGAGTAGCAAGCAGAAAAAAGCAGGGTTACTTCAGCCTCTACCTGTACCGGAGCAGCCATGGCAGGTCGTTAGCCTCGACTTCATCACGGGACTTCCTTCGACCTCACGGGGACACGATTCCATCCTCGTAGTCATCGATAAGTTCTCCAAAATGGGTCACTTCATACCGACCAACGCCACAGCTACTGCTGAAGCAACTGCTCGACTCTTCTTCGACCGCATCATCACCATCCACGGCATCCCCGCTACACTCATCTCAGACAGAGACCCCAAATTCACGAGTAAATTCTGGAAGGAGTTTATGGGACTATTGGGGACTAAGCTTGCGATGTCTTCAGCATACCATCCCCAGACTGACGGACAAACAGAGCGACTCAATCAGGTGGTTGAACAGTTACTGCGCACAGCTTGCAAAGACGACATCAGCCACTGGGACACACAGTTACCGACCCTAGAGTCCGCCTAAAACAACGCCTCGCATGCGGCCACAGGAAAAACCATTTTTTTCCTGTGCTACGGACGGGAACCACTTACACCACAGCAGCCAACCATACCGGCCCACGTCCCAACCGCACACGACTTTGTCACCACCATGCAGCAGCTATGGGAGAAGACTCAGCGACGTCTCACTACGATGCAGAACTCCCAGAAGCAGTATGCCGATCGTCAGCGACGAGATCACTCAGTAGCAGTCGGAGATCAGGTGCTTCTCGACACGCGCAACTTGAACCTGTCTCACCTACCATCCAAACTCCGGCCTCGCTTCTGTGGTCCTTTTCTCGTGGAGGCACAGGTGACACCAGTTACATTCCGCTTGCGCTTACCAGATACATGGAAGCTTCACAAAGCTTTCCATGTTCAACTACTGAAGCCCTACAAGGACCCCAACCAACAGTTCCAGGGACAGCAGCTACCTGTCTCAACTACTGAGGCCTGTACTTGTGCAGGATGAACCAGAGTACGAGATCGAGCGCGTTCTCACTCATCGGCGCCGCGGCGGCAAGACCCTCGAGTTCCTGATACGCTGGAAGGGATACGACCCCACTGAGGACAGTTGGGTTGCAGAAGCTGATATGGGCAACGCACGCCGTGCTCTCAGGGACTATCTTGTCAAGCAGGGTGTATCTCACGCCACCCAGCTTTGAGGGGGGGACGTGTGAGAGTACGACGGCTTATGCTTGTTATTCATGTTTGCTATTATTACCTTACGCTATTGCTAGCTTAGGTTTATTTTATGCATGCATGAATTGCTTGATTCCTAGGTTCGTTGCTTTACTATAGTTATTATAGTTATAGCACCGAACCAGGTTACGTGTACCGAACTCAAGCTATTCGGTTGCCACCGAATTGCTTTCTACCGAGTTCGGGAAGGTTCTGTTCAGGACGCTTCGCGACCCTCGGAACATTCGCGTAACACCTGGGTTACCTGCCTTGTGTCGAGCCTATATATAGCCTCGTGTTGTACCCAGGTGATCGTTCAATTCAAATTCAATTTTCTGAGCTCGATCCTAAGATCCTCACAGGTCGCCTACTGGTCGACCGAACATGGTGGTCGACGAAGGAGGGGCCGACGTCGACCTTGACGGACAGCAAGGGGGCTCTTGGGATGGCCAGGAACGCTGTGCTTCACGGGCTGAACAAGCACATGTGTATGGAGGTGAAGAGGGGGATAGCGAATTCGATCTATATCAAGACTCACCAGCAGCCAGCAGACTTCCTCACCAAGAGGCTTGCGGATGAGCCTCATTGGCGTTGTGTGCGCATGAGTGGAATAAGCATGAACTAGCATGGAATGCTGAAAATGCAACCGGCAGGCTGAGGGGTGCGGAGATAACTGCTACAACGGGAGCTAGACTACGGGCTAGGCATCGGTGCCTGCGTGATCTCTGTATGCTTGTACTACTTGCTGGTTCACAGGGAAAGTTGGCAAGAGTTTCACTAGCAAAAGTTCACAACAATGGTACAATGAAGTTGGCAAGACTAGACTACATCAGAGCTACTGCCAGCAAGTCTACTGCCAGCGCAGCACGGTCGACCGCGTGCCAGCACAACTTGGTCGACAGCGCTCCAGCAGTGCCGCGGGAGTGTTGTGTGGTTCCGTCCTCGCTTGGGCGGAGCCGATTTCGTGGTCGGGTGTGCGGGGGATGCAGCCGACCTGCAGCAGTGGGCGCGGGGACCACTGCAAGGGCGTAGTGCTAATGGGGCGCCTGGTTGGGGGCGCCGAGCAGGTGGACGCCGACCTGGGCGTCTGCTCGGCGTCTTGGGCGCCTGAACGCCGACCTTGGCGTCTGCCCGGCGTCCTGGGAGCCTGAACGCCGACTTGGGCGTCTGCTCGGCGTCCTGGGAGGCTGGACGCCGACCTGATGTTCTGCTCGGCGTCCCGGGCGTCTGGACGCCGACCAGGGCCTTTGGACGGCGTCCCGGACGAGTGGACGCCGACCTGGACGCCAGGTCGCTGACCTGGGACGCCGGGCTTGGCGTAGTCGGGGACCGAATGGGCTGGACGACCAGGCGGGGTTGCCCGGTCGACCGGGATACCCGGGCGACATGCGCGAAGGTCGCCGGGAGCAGTTCTGCGAGGACGACCTCGGGGGTGGTATCCCAAGGTCGCCGGGAGCAGTTCTCCCCGAGGGCGCCGTCACGGGCGGGAATGTCTGCGCTGGGCACGTGACGGGGAGTTGGACGCCAACCAGCCGCGCACACCTGCGAAGCAGGTGCACCGTTGTCCTGCGGGTGCAACGCTGTGCAGCCGACTTGCTGCAGCGTTGGCACACCGTGGACATGCAACGTTGGCGCGCCGCATCTCTGCCGCGCTGGAGCGGTGCGAGCATTGCTGCGCTGGATCGCGGTCGACCGTGCTGCGTTGGAGGTCGATCAGCAGATGTGCTAGCTCTGATGTAGTGATGCATGCCAATGTTGTTGCAATCATTCTGAACCTTTGTTGCTATGTTTTCCTAGTGGAACTCTTGCCAATTCTCCCCGTGAACTAGCAAGTAGTGTGCGCACAAGGAAACGACTAAGTGAACGAACGCAGAGATCACATGAGCACCCGTGCATGTGTAGTCTAGCTCCCGTTGCAGCAGTTATCTCCGCAGCCAATGCTGCAAGTCGACGGCGTGCCAACGTCGCAGGTTGACGGCGTGCCAACGTTGCTCCCGCATGACAGCAGCGCACCCGCTTCGCAGGTGCTCACAGATGACTGGCGTGCAGTGCATCGTCACCTGTTTAGTGCATACGCCAAGTCAACTTCGTGCTGACGACTACTTCTGATCATCCACGTCGACCTCGGGATACCATGATCGAGGTCGTCCTCGCCAACATCGCCTGGGCGACCGTCGCGTGCCTCCGCAGAGCCTCGTCACCCAGGTAACCTGGTCGACCGGGCAACCACGTCGACCAGCTGCTCCTGTATGTGCCGGTCGACCTCCCAAGTCGACGGCCACCTCCAGTCGACCTCACCGGGTCGACCACTGCCCCTGGTCGACCAGCTCTAAGTCGACGTCACTCGTGGTCGACCAGCTCCTCGTCAACCAGCGCCGTTGTCAGCCGACGTCGGCCCCTCCTTCGTCGACCACCATGTTCGGTCGACCACCAGGTCGACCTCACGCCTGGTCGACCAACCACCAAGTCGACCAGCAGGCCTGGTCGACCAACCAAGTCGACCAGAAGGCCTGGTCTCCAGGTCGACCAGCAGTCCTGTCAGCCGACCACCCAAGTCGGCTGCCCCAAGTTGGCGTCACCAAGTCGACGCCCTCCGCAGGTCGACTTCCCAGGTCGACCTCCCTGAAGCCGGCGCCATCCTAAACTCGGCGCCCATGCATTGGCTCCTGTGCAGGTCGATTACCTCGTCGACCAGCTCACCCACTGCTGCAGGTCGGCTGCACCCCTCACACCCGACCACGAAGTCGGCTCCGCCCAAGCGAGGACGGGGCCAACACACAACTCCCGTTGACAAGGGGGAGTGTGTTGGGTGCAAATTCACATTGCACGACATCCTGCCGTCTGTATTTCTACAAAAGGTAGGGGCTGGTCTTGTACCAGGCACCTAAGGACACTTGGAGGTGACTCCGAGGAGAGGTTTTAAATTGGATTACGTCTTAATAGCTTGAGTTAATAAGGCCCGTACACCAACAGATGGTACTAAGAGTAGGTGCGTTACTTACCCATATGGATGGTACTAAAAGTAAGTGCGTTACTTATCCATGTGGATGGTGCTTAAAATTTGTGCAGTATTTAACCATGCGGGTGGTACTAAAAGTAAGTGCGTTACTTACCTATGTCGATGGCCCTACGAGTAAGTGTGTTTCTTACCCATGTGGATGGTTCTAAGAGTAAGTGCATTACTATCCATTTGGACGGTCCTATGCGTTGCTTCACCATGTGGTTGGTACTAAGAGTAAGTGCGTTACTTACCCATGTGGATGGCACTAAGAGTAAATACGTTTCTTACCTATGTGGATGGTACTAAAAGTAAGTGCGTTACTTACCCTTATGGATAGTACTACGAGTAAGCGCATTACTGTTGATGTAAGGGCCTAATAAACTCAAGCTATTTGGACTTAATCAAACTTAAAACCTCTCCTCGGGATCACCTCCAAGGGTCCCTGGGTGCCTGGCACAAGACCAGCCCTTATCCTCGGGTCCGAGTTTGTAGAGAGAGGAGTCAAGAAAGACTTAAACAAACAAGAGTACCTTGAACGTCTCGCAGCGTGCCGTGCAGACCGTCAATCGGATTAAGCTGAGAATTTGCTATATCGAAGCACTCTTCAAGAGCTTTAAAATAAGCCAAGTTGCCTCGCAAAAAGTTCTGCCATTACGAAGTTATGGCTCGGACAGCGTTTGCCTAGCGTTGGAGTGCTAGCGTACTAGCGTTGACTCGGGTAGCATTCCGCCGTCGAACCGCGTAGAAACGAAATTCCAGCAAGGAAGGAATTCGCATGAATCAATTGACTATATTCAGGTACAAACAGAGAAGGAATAAATAGTTCTAGCTAGCAAGGACCTTGGGAATCAACCTGGGAACAACCAGGGATGATCCCAAATAATTCCAAGCAACAGAACCAACCTGTCTGGACAAAACAGCGGGTGGACAAACCACACTTAGAGTATCATTCATATGGTTAAGTATTGCAAATACAACATACATGGTTAAGTAACGCACATACCCTTAGTAACATCCACATGGCTAAATAACGCTCGTACTTTTAGTACCATCCATATAATGAAGCATGATTGAGTAACGCACTTACACTTAATACGATCCATATCGGTAAATAACGCACATACTCTTAGTACCATCCACGTATTTAAGTAACGCACTTACTCTTAGCACCATCCTCATGGCAAATAACACACTTACTTTTAGTACCATACATATGGTTAAGTAGCACACATACTCTTAGTACCATCCACATGGGTAAGTAACACACTTACTCTTAGTACCATCCAGATGGGTAAGTAATGCACTTATGCCTAGCACTATCCACATGGATAAGTAACGCACTTACTGTTAGTACCATCCACATGGCTAATCAACGCACAGACTCTCAGTAACATCCACATGGGTGAATAACGCACGTACTTTTAGTACCATCCGCATGGATAAGTAACACACTTACACTTAGTGCGATCCATGTCGGTATATTACACACGTACTTTTAGTACTATCCACGTGGTTAAGTAATGCACTTAGTATTAGCACCATCCACATGGGTAAATAACATTCTTAGTACCATCCATATGGTTACGTATCGCACTTACTCTCAGCACCATTCACATAAGTAAGAAACACACTTACTCTTAGTACCATCCACATGGGAGCTATGTAACGCACTTATTCTTAGTATTATCGATATGGTTAAGTAACGCACTTAATTTTAGTGCCATCCACATGGTTAAGTAATGCACATACTCTCAATAATCATCCACATCGGTAAATTACGCACTTGTAGTACCATCCACATGATTAAGAGAAACACTTACACTTGGTAGCATCCACATCGGTAAATATACTCTTATTACCATCCACATGGTTAAGTAACACACATACGCTTAGCAATGCACATGTGTAAGTAACGCACTTACTCTTGGTACCATCCACTTTCGTAAGAAACGCACTAACTCTTAGAGCCATCCACATGGGTAAGAAATGCACTTACTGTTAGTGCCATCCATATGGGTAAGTAACACGCTTACTCTTAGTACCATCCACATGGGTAAGTAACGCACTTACTCTTAGTAACATCCACATATGTAAGTAACGCGCTTACTCTTGGTACCATCCACATGGGTAAGTAACGCACTTACTCTTAGTAACATCCACATAGGTAAGTAACGCGCTTACTCTTAGCACCATGCACACGGGTAAATAACACGCTTTCTCTTAGCGCCATCCACATGGGTAAATCACGCACTTACTTTTAGTATCATCCACATGGTTAAGTAACACATATACTCTTAGCACCACGCACATAGGCAAGTAATGCACCTACTCTTAGTACCATCCAAATGGTTGAGTAATGCACCTACTTTTAGTACCATCTATATGATAAATTAACACTTAGTACCATCCACATCGGTAAATAACGCACGTACTTTTAGTACCATCCACATAGTTTAGTAGCGCAAAAATTTTAAGCACCATCTACATGGGCAAGTACCGCACTTACTCTTAGAACCATCGTATGGGTAAGTAACGCACCTACATTTAGTACCATCTACACGAATAAGTAACGAACTTACTATTAGTACCATGCACATGGGTAAGTAACGCACTTACTGTTAGTACCATCCATATAGGTAAAAAACATCATGCACATGGATAAGTTACGCGCTTACTTGTAGTACCATCCACATAGTTAAGTAACACAAATACTGTTAGCACCACGCACAAGAGTAAGTAATGCACCTACCCTAAGTACCATCACATGGTTAAGAAACGCACTTACTCATAGTACCTTGCACATGAGTAAGTAACGCACTTACTCTTAGTACCATCCACGTGGTCAAGTAACGCACAAACTCCTAGCACTATGCATATGGGTAAGTAACGCACTTATACTTAGCGCCATCCAGATGGGTAAGTAACGCGCTTACTCTTAGTACCATCCACATGGTTAAGTGACACAGATACTCTTAGCACCACGCACATGGGTAAGTAACGCACTTACTCTTGGTACCATCCACATGGGTAAGTAACGCACTTCGTGAGTGCAGCGCCTTCGTGAGAAAGTCGGCTGGCTGCTCAGCGGTCGGGATGTACTGCAACGCAAACTTCCCCCGCTTCACCATGTGCTGCAGCCAGGCCTGTCGCCGCTCCATGTGCTTGAGGTTGCCCGTCAACCCCATGCCCTCGGCGACTGTGATGGCCGACTTGTTGTCCACCCTCAGGACCGTCGGCTTCCCAGCATCCAGCTGCTGGAACTCTGCCAGGAGGAAGCGAAGTCGGCGTCCCTCCTTGCCGGCTTCGACGGCCGCCACGTACTCCGACTCGGTCGACGACAACGTCGCGCACTTGATGCGCTGGCTCAACCAGGAGACCGCGGCCCCTCCGTAGACGAACACGTAGCCGCCCGTGCTCGTCCTGCTCTGCTTGTCACCGGCGTCGTCGGCATCCACGTAGCCGACCAGCTCCAGCGACTCAGGTCCACCGCCGAACTCCAGGGCGGTGTCACGCGTGTTGGTGAGGTAGGCGAGGCAGCGGTCGACCTCGCGCCAGTGCTGGTCGCTCCTCACCGTGAGGCCGCTCCCCAGCTTGCTGCAGGCGAAGGCGATGTCCGGCCTTGTCGTCGTCGCCGCGAACTGCAGCGAGCCAACCTTCTGCCGGTACTCCTCCTGCTGGCGTTCCTGTGCCTCCTCGTCGTCGAAGGTGAGCTCGGAGTAGGCGTTGTTGGGTGCAAATGCACATTGCACGACATCCTGCCGTCTGTTTGTACGAGTATGCGTGTGCGAATGCATTTGCGTGTGAATGGTGTGTTCGTGTGTTTGTTTGCTTTCGCATTTTTTGCTTGATGCATTTGCAGGTACTCGCGCAATGTGCGCTTCGGCACAACATTGTATGCGCTATGAACAGTGCAAGCAGAAAGGACGAGCTCGCAAAGGAACCCAAGATGGAAGCTTTGCAGTTCGGTTGAGTTGATTGCGCAGATTCAGTTCTATCCAACTCGGAATTGTACTGTTTTGTTTGGTTAACTATAGTGTAGCAGGGAAGGCACTATAGGGGTACAATTTAGGTGAAGGTTGGATGTTGTTTGTCTGTATCTGCATGCTACAAGGCCAGGGGAAACCAGCGGAACCAGCATTTGGCTGGTTGGGCAAAGACAAAACAGGTTCTGTTTTTAGAACCTGAACCTGGTTATTGTTTTCCCAGGTTGGAAAAACAGAACTAGAGGTTGTTTACCAACCTACCACCTGCTATTTTGTCCAACCAGGTTGGTTCTGTTGCTTGGAATTATTTGGGATCATCCCTGGTTGTTCCCAGGTTGATTCCCAAGGTCCTTGCTAGCTAGAACTATTTATTCCTTCTCTGTTTGTACCTGAATATAGTCAATTGATTCAAGCGAATTCCTTCCTCGCTGGAATTTCGTTTCTGCGCTATTCGACGGCGGAATGCTACCCGAGTCAACGCTAGTATGCTAGCACTCCAACGCTAGGCAAACGCTGTCCGAGCCATAACTTAGTAATGGCAGAACTTTTCGCGAGGCAACTTGGCTTTTTTTAAAGCTCTTGGAGCGAGCTTCGATATAGCGAATTCTCAGCTTAATCCGACCGACGGTCTGCACGGCACGCTGCGCGACGTTCAAGGTGCTCTTGCTGTTTTGACTAAGTCCTTTTTGATCCCTCTCTCTACAAACTCGGACCCGAGGATAGGGGCTGGTCTTGTACCAGGCACCCAGGGACCCTTGGAGGTGACCCCGAGGAGAGGTTTTAAGTTTGATTAAGTCCTAATAGCTTGAGTTTATTAGGCCCTTACACCAACAAGCTGGTATCAGAGCTGCGTTATAGTGATCCTCGTTATAGGTAGCTATGGCGGGCAACACCTCGGCGGGAGCTGGTGAATCTTCAGCCCAAGATCGTAGCGGCAGCCAAGATTCTGGTCTTTCAGCGCCAAGGGGAGCGCGAACAAACCAGGGCTCGCTTGTCAAGGAGGTGCTGAAGAATTTCACCGTCGAGAAGTTCAATGGTGAGGGCTATGATGATTGGGCCTGGAAAATGCAATTATATTTCCGTCAGATCGGTTTGCTGAAACTAATGATTGGGGAGGAGCCTAGACCGAGTGACCCCACGCTGCAGGAAGATTGGGACGAGCGCTCCTCGGCTGGCTACTACTTGATGTCGCAGAGTTTGGAGCTGAACCAGCGTCATCATGTCATGAACTTGCTGCCGGAGGTTGAATGCGGTCCGAAGGCGTGGACCGTGTTGAAGGAGCTGCACGCCCCGACCTCCGTTGTCGCAACGTTGATGCTGGAGAGGGAGCTGTCCGCGTTGCGCCTGAGCGAGGGAGAGCCGGTGCAACCTGTCCTTGAAAAGATGCGCGACCTTTACGCGAAGTTGGCGACCGCGGGAATCACCTACCCGGAGCAGACCAAGTGCTTGAAGATGCTCTCGCTGCTGCCTGAATCGTGGCTTCAATTCACGAGCGGATTGAGCCTGCCGCAGAACCAGAGCTCGTGGACACTCGAGTGGGTGCGGACAAAGATTCTGGAGGAGGACTTCCGTCGCCGCCAACTGAGGGGTGGGGACGACGGCAGCAGCGGCTACGGAATGCAAGGGAACCGACGTGGCAGAGGACGTGGCTTCGGTGGTGCTGGGCGCGGTGCAAAGAAGGACGACGACTCCAACGACCAACAAGGAGGTATCGGTTGGGGTCGCGGTGCGAAATCTGGACGTGGGGGCAAATCGGGTGCTGGTGGCAAAATGAAAGGGAGTTGCTGGTATTGTGAGAAGGAAGGGCACCCCTGGTTTTTGTGCTATAAGAAACCCGATGGATGGACCCCCCAGAATCGTCACCAGGATGGCGGCGCGCGGAGGAACCAGAAAAACGGCGCCAACATGGTCGCTGATTCGTCCGACAACAACCCGAAGGGCAACGGTGGTGCGGAGAAGAAGGAGCGCACCGCGGGCCAATTCTTCCATGTGGGAGACAAGGGGGAGCAAGGAGACGCATCTGCCAAGGTTGGAGCAGAGCTGCACCCCCTGGACTATTGGGTGTTGGACACGGGCGCTGCATGGACGATGACGCCGCGCAAAGACCTGCTGGACGACGTACGCGCTGCACCGATTAACGAGGTGTGCTCCGCCTCTGGACACTCGCTGAAGGTGGCTGGTGCGGGACGAGCTGCGTTTAAGGGAGCGGATGGCAAGCCGGTGGTGCTGCACGACGTTCTCTTCGTCCCCGACCTGAAGGCCAACCTTATCTCCCTCCGTAAGCTTGGCAAGGCTGGGGTGAACACCAACACGGATGGGGCACGCACTTATAAGGGGAAGCTGGGCAATCGGGTGCTTTGGGATCTGCACGAGAGCAAGGACGTGTACAGATCTATGTGGCAGCTGCCGGCCCTGGCGTGGCATGGTGGGGGGCAGGCTGGAGAGGGGTCTGCATCCCAGGGGGAGTGCAATGCCGTTGGAGGGGTTGGTGTGAAAGTGTCGGCCAGATCTGGGGAGACAGATTGGGCAACGGCACACCGGCGCTTAGGGCATGTGGCAATGCCTTTGCTGAAGCAGCTGGAGAAGGACGGAGCCGTTAAGGGTCTGAAGCTGAACGGACAGCCACCCGATGACAACTGTGAAATCTGTTTGCTTTCAAAGTTCACCCGTTTCCCTTTCCATAGTGTGGCTGGCAGGAGCAAGAAGCCTTTAGAGCTGGTCCACATGGACTTGGTGGGGCCGCTGCCGGTGCAAGGGCACAAGGGGGAGCGGTATTTTCTTACAATTGTGGATGACTAGAGCAGGCTGATGTGGGCGTATCCGCTGAAGCAGAAGGACCACGCCGCCTCCACGATACGGGACGATTGGCTGCCATTCGTGGAGAAGCAGGCGGAGTGTGTAGTGAAGCGGATTAGGACAGACCGGGGTGGTGAGTTCCTTGGAGCTGAAATGACGGCCTGGCTCAAGAAGCAGGGCATCCAGAGAGAGCTGACCACGGCTTATACCCCACAGTCCAATGGTGTAGCAGAACGGGCAAACCGGACCATTCTGGAGACAGCTAGGGCGCTGCTCATAGAATCTGGGCTGAGCAATTCTATGTGGCCTCATGCTGTCCGGCACGCCACTGTCGCTAGGAACAGGGTGCTCACCAAGGTTGGGGATGACTCGTGGGTGCCGTTGGAGAGGTGGCTTGGGAGGAAGCCGCCGGTGGACATGCTGAGGGTGTTCGGTTGCATGGCAGTCGCCCACGTCCCCAAGACCTACCGCAGTAAGTTGGGGGCGAGTGCAATCTGGTGTGTGCATTTGGGGCTGGCTGCTGAGAGCAAGGGATGGCTGCTGTGGGAACCATCCAAAGGTGTGTTGTTTGACAGCAGGGATGTGAAATTCATTGAGGGCATGATGTATGGGAGCTGGGAGAAACAGCCGGAGGCAAGGGTGTCCCAGCAGATGGAGCAGATCACCATGCAGCTGGACCTGACTCCTAGTGTGTGGGAGGAGGGAGAGGAGGCAGCTGCTGGAAATGGTGATGGAGAGAAGGTACAAGAGGCATCTGCTGGTGGAGAAAATGGTGTGGAAACTGGCGGCAGCACTAGTGGAGCTGCTGGACCCGAGGGAGGAGAGAAGCAGCAGGGAAAAACTAAGAAGCCGAAGGGTGTCGTTATGAAGGGATGGGAGACACCCGTCTCCAGGCCAGGACGTACCCGTATGGCTACTAAGAAGCTGACTGCAGGATCAGGTGTAGCAGAGCAGCAGCTTGGGACCGAGGAGGCAATGCTGATTCTACCTCATGGCTATGACCCGGATGAGGAGGACGAGCCTGCGTACTGTTTTCTTGCCCCTGCACCAGAGGAACCAGCTAGCATGGAGGAGGCATTAGCTGGACCAGATAGGGACAAGTGGCTGGCTTCTAGGGATGCTGAGTACCAGAGCCTGCTGGAGAATGGGACTTGGGAACTAGTGGTGCTGCCTGAGGGAAAGAAAGCGGTACAATGCAAGTGGGTGCTAAGGATCAAGACCGATGACAAGGGGCAGGTCACCATCTACAAGAGTAGGCTGGTGGCGAAGGGGTTTATGCAGAAGGAGAAGCAGGACTTCAACGAGATCTTTGCTCCCACTGCCAAACCCCCTACCCTCCGTGTCTTGTTGGCAGATGCAGCCGTTACGGGGAAATTCATCATTCAGATGGATATTTCAACGGCATTCCTGAATGAGATTTTAGAGGAGGATGTGTACATGACGCAGCCGCCTGGGTATGAGGATGGTACGGGCAGGGTGTGCAAGCTCAACAAGTCCATCTACGGCTTGAAGCAGGCGCCACGCTGCTGGTACCAGAAGTTGGCAGCTGTTTTGGAGGAGATGGGATTCAGGACCAGCAGCTGTGATGAGAGCCTCTTTCTCAAGGGCGAGGGGGAGAAGCTGGTGCTGTTTCTGGTCTATGTGGACGACATTCTTCTCTTCAGCAGCAGCATGAAGGAGATCCAGAAAGTACAGCAGCAACTGATGGAAAACTTCAAGTGCAAGAACCTTGGGGAGGTAAAGTACTACCTCGGGATGCACGTGGAGAGGGATCCAGATCACAGGTGGTTGAAGCTGCACCAGGAGAAGTTCATCAAAGAGCTGGGGGAGAAGTATGGGATTGAGAATGAGCGCAAGGTTGCAACTCCCCTGCCAGCAGAATTCAAGCTTGTAAAGGCTGCAGAGGATGAAGGGGTTGAAGCCAAGGAGCAGCAGTTCACACGAGGCCCGACATCTCTTTCTCGGTTGGGCAGCTGGCTAGGGTGGTGCAGAATCCATCAGAGGAGCAGGTGGATGCAGCTGAGCGTGTGGTGAAGTACCTGAACTCTCACCCAAGCATTGGAGTTCAATACTCCGCATCTGCACAGGTGAAGCAGAAAGGGGTGGAGGTGCTGAAAGAGAAGGGGGAGAGGCTTGGAGAAAGCAAGCTCTTTCTCACTTGCTTTACTGATGCTACTTGGGCTTCTGAGAAGGAGGATTCCTCATCTGTGGGAGGATACATCTGCGTAGTTGGGGGTGGACCTGTTAGTTGGAGGTCCAAGAAGCAGACGGAGACGGCACTCTCTTCCGTAGAATCAGAGTACATGGCGATGTTCCATGGGGTGAAGGAGGTGATTTGGCTGAGGAGGCTGTTAGAGGAGATTGGCCAGGAGCAGAAAGTTGCTACGCAAATGCATTCGCACACGCATACTCGTACAAACAGACGGCAGGATGTTGTGCAATGTGCATTTGCACCCAACAGTATGCGTGTGCGAATGCATTTGCGTGTGAATGGTGTGTTCGTGTGTTTGTTTGCTTTCGCATTTTTTGCTTGATGCATTTGCAGGTACTCGCGCAATGTGCGCTTCGGCACAACATTGTATGCGCTATGAACAGTGCAAGCAGAAAGGACGAGCTCGCAAAGGAACCCAAGATGGAAGCTTTGCAGTTCGGTTGAGTTGATTGCGCAGATTCAGTTCTATCCAACTCGGAATTGTACTGTTTTGTTTGGTTAACTATAGTGTAGCAGGGAAGGCACTATAGGGGTACAATTTAGGTGAAGGTTGGATGTTGTTTGTCTGTATCTGCATGCTACAAGGCCAGGGGAAACCAGCGGAACCAGCATTTGGCTGGTTGGGCAAAGACAAAACAGGTTCTGTTTTTAGAACCTGAACCTGGTTATTGTTTTCCCAGGTTGGAAAAACAGAACTAGAGGTTGTTTACCAACCTACCACCTGCTATTTTGTCCAGCCAGGTTGGTTCTGTTGCTTGGAATTATTTGGGATCATCCCTGGTTGTTCCCAGGTTGATTCCCAAGGTCCTTGCTAGCTAGAACTATTTAATCCTTCTCTGTTTGTACCTGAATATAGTCAATTGATTCAAGCGAATTCCTTCCTCGCTGGAATTTCGTTTCTGCGCTATTCGACGGCGGAATGCTACCCGAGTCAACGCTAGTATGCTAGCACTCCAACGCTAGGCAAACGCTGTCCGAGCCATAACTTAGTAATGGCAGAACTTTTCGCGAGGCAACTTGGCTCATTTTAAAGCTCTTGGAGCGAGCTTCGATATAGCGAATTCTCAGCTTAATCCGACCGACGGTCTGCACGGCACGCTGCGCGACGTTCAAGGTACTCTTGCTGTTTTGACTAAGTCCTTCTTGATCCCTCTCTCTACAAACTCGGACCCGAGGATAGGGGCTGGTCTTGTACCAGGCACCCAGGAACCCTTGGAGGTGACCCTGAGGAGAGGTTTTAAGTTTGATTAAGTCCTAATAGCTTGAGTTTATTAGGCCCTTACACCAACAGGAGTCGACGGAGACCGGCGTCTTCGGGGTCCCACTGCCCTGCTCCTCGTCGATGAACCGCCTACGCAGCTTGTCGGCGTAGCCCTGTTGGTGCAGCCACAGCTTCCTCGCCGACCTGTCGCGCACAATCTCCAGCCCGAGGTACTTCTGCACCGGCGAGATCTCGCGCAACTCGAAGGCGGCCTCCAGCAGCTCCTTCAGCTCCTTCAGCATCTCGGTGCTGCTGCTGGCGGCGAGCAGGTCGTCGACGTAGACCAGCACCTAGCAGGTCACCTTATCGTCGTCGACCTGGCTCTTCTTCCAGCCAGCGCCGACCAGCACGTCGTTGAGCGCCAAGTACCACAGCAGCGGCGACTGCTTCAGCCCGTAGAGGCTCTTTAGCAGCTTACACACCCGGCCGGATCCGTCGTTGAAGTAGTCCGGCTGGTACATGTACAGCACCCAGTCGAGCTTGCTCTGCAGGAAGGCATTCTTCATGTCGAGCTGCATCAGGTTCAGGTCGAGGACGGCGACGATGCTGAGGAAGATCCTCAGCGTGATGTAGCTGCTCACTGGCGCGTACGTCTCGTCGTAGTCGGCGCCATACACCTGCGTGAAGCCCTTCACGACCAGCCTCGCCTTCTCGCGCTCGACGGTGTCGTCGATGTGGTACTTCGTCGTCAGCACCCACCGGTTCTTCATGACGTTCACTCCCGGCGGGCGTTCGACCAGCTCCCACGTGCCGTTGTTGATGAGGCTGCGGATCTCCTCCTCCATGGCGGCCTTCACCGCCGGGCCCTTCCAGCTCGCCAACGCCTCCTTCACCGTCATGGTCGAGATGTCCCAGCGGTGCTCGGGGTCGGCCAGCATGTCGGGGTCGAGCTCCGGAAACTCTTCGTCCTCATCAGCGTCGTCGTACAGGGTGTCGTCATCGTCCTCCACGTCGTGCACCGTGGTGAAGGCAGCCGGGATGAAGAAGTCGGGAGGCCTCCGAAGTCGACCTGACTTCCGGGGTTCAGGCGGGACCACCACCACGTCACGGTCGGTGGACTGGTCGACCACCTCCTGGTCGACCAGCTCCTCGTCGCCCGACTGCTCCCCTTCATCTTCACCACCGTCCTTGTCGTCCTGCTGCACTTCAGTCGGCGTCCCGACCGACTTCTCCCCTGAGGTCAGCTCCCCTGCCGACTGCCAGGTCGCCGACTGCTCCTTGGTCGGCCTTGCTGCTGCCTGCTCCCCTGTGGGCTTCACCCAAGTCGGCTGCACCTCCTCGACCTGCTCCCCCCTTATCCAGGTCGACTGCACTCCCAGGTCGACCTGCTGCTCGTCCCGTCGGCCACCGGCGATGCCCTTGGTCGGCGCCACAGGCGACGTCCCACTGCTCCCCTCATCGCCGGAGGCCGACAACGGAGTCAGCCCACGCAGGGCGACGAGGGGAGGGGCAGGGGAGGGGGAGGAAGGGTGGACGACCTCGGCGTCGTCCTCAGCAAGCCCACCGACCTCGGCGAGCAGAGGGAGCATTGCCGTCGAGGTATCCGTCGGCGTGGCCATCTGTGTCCGCCCTGACACGGGCCCATGCTCCGACTTCCACTCCTCCAGCGACAGGTCCTCGCAGAGCACCACGTCCGACGTGGTGACCACCCGGTTGTCGGCGATGTCGAGGAGCTCCCAGCCCTTGCTTGCCTCCGACACGCCGAGGTGAAGGCCCCACTTGGCCTTCGGCTTCAGCTTCCCACCACGCTGCTGCTCGGGGACGAGGAACTGCGCCATGCAGCCCCACACGCGCGCCAGCGAAAGGTCGGGCTTCTCCCCGGTCAGCAGCTGGTACGGCGTTGTCCCCGGCGTAGCCGACCGCTCCAGGCAGTTGCGGACCCAGACGGCTTGCCGCAGAGCGAGGTGCCACCAGTAGTGCTGCACGCCCATGTGCAGCAGCATCGTCCGCACCGACTCCACCACCGTCCTCATCTCCCGCTCTGCCATGCCGTTCTGCTGCGGGGTGTACGGGCAGGTCAGGTCGTGGACGATCCCCTTGCCGTCCACGAAGTCGGTAAACTGCTTCCCGAGGAACTCCCCGCCTCGGTCAGAGCGCAGCATCAGCACCGACTTCTTCGTCTGCCTCTCCACCAGCACCAGCCACTTCTGGAACTCCAGCAGCACATCCGATTTCTTGGCGACCGGCCTCACCCACACGAAGCGGGTCTTGCGGTCCTTCAGCAGCAAGAAGTACAGGCTGCCGTCTTTGGCAGCCACACGGAACGGCCCGCACAGGTCGATGTGGACGACGGCTAGCACGTCGGCGGCGTCGGAGCCTTGGTCGGGGAAGGTGTGCCGCGCCAGCTTCCCGCCAACGCACGAGACACACGGTGAGTCGGCGCCCGTCGCCGACTTGAGGTCCAGCCCAATGGCGACCTCGTTCTTCGCCGAGCTCCGGATGGTGTCCATGCCGACATGCGCAAGCCGAGCGTGCATCCTGTCCGGCGTCGACTTCGTCTTGGAGACGATCGCCCGCAGGGCCACAACCTCCGGCGTGGGCGACGGCGACCTCGTTGAGCAGGGACGCAGGTCGGTGCAGAGGACTCGCCCGGAGTACGTCGCCCGACCAAGCACCTCTCCTGCTGCCGAGACGAGCAGCACCCCGTCGCCGTCCTCCCGAAACTTCACGCCATGCTCCTTCAGCTGGCCGGACGACAACAGGTTTGCCCGCACACCTGGGACGTACAGCACGTCGGGGATGAGAACCTGCTTCCCGGCCTCGCCTTGCAAGGCGACCGTGCCCCGGCCCTGGACGTCTTGCAGCGCCCCATTGAAGCCACGCACGTGCTTCACGTCGCCGCAGGGCCCTAAGTCGACGAAGGCGTCCTTCGTCCCCATCAGGTGGTGAGAGCAGCCGCTGTCGAGCAGGACCACCGCCGGGTTCGCCTGCACAGCTGCCGCCACCGCTTGGAAGTCCTCGCCAGCCTCTGGCGCCAGCGAGACGGTCGGCTCCACGACGCCGACCAGAGAGCACGACGCCGCCTTGTCGTCGCTCCTCTTGCCGCCAGCAGAGGAGTCGGCGTCCTTCGCCGAGGTCGACTTGGTCGACTGCTTCTCCTTGCGCGGCTGGTTGCCTCGACGTGGACGACGGCTGGCCGACCTCCCGCGGCCTCCCTTGGCGTCGTCGTCGTCGGATTCGCTGCGGTCGGGGCACTCAAAGGAGAGGTGGTTGGGGCTGCGGCAGATCCAGCATTCCCAATGCCGACTTCCTCCTCCCCGGCCACTGTCCTTGGTCGACTTCTTCTTGTCGACCTCCTTGGCCGACTTCGAGCCACCGCTACCACCGCCACCTGATTGTCCACGCTGCCCTGGTCGACCGCCTTGCTTCGCCGGGGCGACGTAGTTCACCTGCGCCAAGAGCTCTTGTGACCGCTCAGCCTCCTGCATCGCCTCGTCCTGCAGGATGTACGAGGTCAGATTGTCCTCGTTGAGCGTCGCCCTCGTGCTTGGCGCCATGGACAGCCGCTTCAACAGGTTGTAGCTGCTCGGAAGACCTTGCATGACATGGGTGATGTACGACGCCGTCGAGTACTCTGCACCGGCCATCCTGATGGTGGCGAGAATTCGCCGGGCCCGGTTGCAATAGTCGGTCGCCGTCTCCTCGTTGCCCATGCGCAGGTGCGTCAACTGTGTCAACGGGAGTTGTATGTTGGCCCCGTCCTCGCTTGGGCGGAGCCGACTTCGTGGTTGGGTGTAGGGTGCAGCCGACCTGCAGCAGTGGGCGAGTTGGTCGACGAGGTTGGTCGACCTGCACGGGGAGCCACTGCATGGGCGCCGACTTCAGGAGGGCGCCAACTTCGGCTGGTCGACCTGGGAAGTCGACCAGCCCTTCTGGTCGACCTGGGACGTCGACCAGACCTTCTGGTCGACCAGGGACGTCGACCAGGCCTTCTGGTCGACCAGGAGTGACGTCGACTTGGAGCTGGTCGACCAGGGGATAGTGGTCGACCTGGGGAGGTCGACTGGAGGTGGCCGTCGACTTGGGAGGTCGACCGGCACGTACCAGAGGGAGTGGTCGACCTGGGAGGTCGACCGGAAGTGGTCGTCGACCTGGGTGGTCGACGGGCACGCACTGGAGCCTCTGGTCGACCTGGTTGCCTGGTCGACCAGGTTACCTGGGTGACAAGGGTCTGCGAAGACATGCGACGGTCGCCCAGGCGAAGTTGGCAAGGGCGACCTCGGTGGTGGTATCCCGAGGTCGACCTGGCAGATCAGATACAGTCGTCAGCACGAGGTGGACCTGGTGTGTGCGCTGTGCAGGTGACGAAGCAGTGCGCGCCAATCACCTACGAGCACCTGCGAAGCGGGTGCGATGCTGGACTGCAGAAGCAACGCTGGCACGCCGTCGACTTGCGCCGTTGTCATGCTGTCGACTTGCAGCGTTGGCAAGCCGCGACTCTGCGCTGCTGGAGCGCGGTCGACCAAGTTGTGCTGGCGCGCGGTCGACCGTGCTGCGCTGGCAGTCAACCTGCTTGCATCCTAGCTCTGATGTAGTCTTGCCTAGCCAACTTCATTGTATCATTGTTGTCAACTTTCTCTAGTGAAACTCTTGCCAAATTGCCTTGTGAACTAGCAAGCAGTGTGTGCACTAGGAAAACGACTAAGGAACTGAGAACGCAGAGATCACACGAGCACCCGTGCCTAGCCCGTAGTCTAGCTCCCGTTACTAGAGTTATCTCCGCAAACTGCCCCTCCAGCTGGGCGATGAACAGGTCGTCGGTGACCTGGTACGTCGACTCGATGAAGTGCCACGCCTGGTGGCCGGCGTCGAGGTACTCCCTGCACCACTTCAGGGCGATCTGCACGCCCGGCGAGCAGCACCGTGAGATGACCGTGAAGGTCAACAGCTGCACGGCGCGGAACTCAGCTCGCAAGTCGGGGTCGTCCGGCGTCTCCACGGTGCCTCGAGCGAAGCTGATCAGCCCGGCCATCTCCAGCTGAGGCTCGATGGCCTCCTTCCAGGTGAGGATGTCTGGTCGACCGACCAGCGGGGGAGTCACCGAGATCCTGTCCGGCGTGAACTTGTAGTAGCCGTAGCTCGGTGCAATTCCGCCCGCCGTCACCTGGGACACCGCCATCGGCATCAATCCGCTTCGTCGACCTCCGACGTCGGACTGCGAGGAGCCTGCAACCTCCGACGACCGCATCCCTCGTGCCTGAACGCCGCCGACCTCGTCGGCGCGAATCACACCTCTCCGCCTCGACGACGACTGCTGCCGACCTGGCCACCACCGACGTTGACGCCCACGTCGACGCCGCCCTCGGTGTTCGCCGGTCGAGGAGAAGCAGGCCAAGAAGGGTGCTCCGTCGCCCACAGGGAACGGATGCCAGCCTCGACGACCGCCCAAGGCAGGTCGCCATACTCGTTGGCCTCGTGCTTCCTCCTCGCGTTTTCCAGCCGTGCCTCCAGGGTGTCCACCACCCCCGTGTCACCTACGGCTACTACCATAGTGACGATCGCACAGCTGCCGGCCTACGAACCACTTAGGTAAGGTGCAACTAAGTTGACTAGACCAAAAGTCGTGTGCCGTCCACGCTCACCGCACCATGCGGAGATAACTCTAGTAACGGGAGCTAGACTATGGGCTAGGCACGGGTGCTCGTGTGAACTCTGCGTTCTCAGTTCCTTAGTCGTTTTCCTAGTGCACACACTGCTTGCTAGTTCACAAGGCAATTTGGCAAGAGTTTCACTAGAGAAAGTTGACAACAATGATACAATGAAGTTGGCAAGGCAAGACTACATCAGAGCTAGCATGCAAGCAGGTCGACTGCCAGCGCAACTTGGTCGACCGCGCGCCAGCACAACTTGGTCGACCGCGCTCCAGCAGCGCAGAGTCGCGGCTTGCCAACACTGCAGGTCGACGGCGTGCCAACGTCGCAGGTTGACGGCGCGCCAACGTTGCTCCCGCAGGACAGCAGCGCACCTACTTCGCAGGTGCTCGCAGACGATTGGCGTGCAGTGCCTCGTCACCTGCACAACGCACACACCATATCAACTTCGTGCTGACGACTGCTTCTGATGCACCACGTCGACCTCGGGATACCATCACCGAGGTCGTCCTCGCCAAAACCACCTGGGTGACCATTGCAAGCCTTCGCAGCACCTCGTCACCCAGGTAACCTGGTCGACCAGGCAACCAGGTCGACCAGAGGCTCCAGTGCGTGCCCGTCGACCACCCAGGTCGACGACCACTTCCGGTCGACCTCCCAGGTCGACCACTGCCTCTGGTATGTGCCAATCGACCCCCCAAGTCGACGGCCACCTCCAGTCGACCTCCCCAGGTCGACCACTATCCCCTGGTCGACCAGCTCCAAGTCGACGTCACTCCTGGTCGACCAGAAGGGCTGGTCGACGTCCCGGGTCGACCAGAAGGGCTGGTCGACGTCCCGGGTCGACCAGAAGGGCTGGTCGACGTCCCGGGTCGACCACCCGAAGTTGGCGCCCTCCCGAAGTCGGCGCCCATGCAGTGGCTCCCCGTGCAGGTCGACCAACCACGTCGACCAGCCCGCCCACTGCTGCAGGTCGGCTGCACCCCTACACCCGACCAGGAAGTCGGCTCCGCCCAAGCGAGGACGGGGCCAACATTTAACTCCCGTTGACAGTGGCAGCCGTGCAGGTCGACTACCTCGTCGACCAGCTCGCCCACTGCTGCAAGTCAGCTGCACTCTTATACCAGACCTCGAAGTCGGCTCCACCCATGCGAGGACGGGGCCAACTCACAACTACCGTTGACACATACTATTAGCACCATCCACATGGGTAAGTAACGCACTTACTTTTAGTACCATCCACGTTGGTAAGAAACTCAGTTACTCTAAGTGCCATCCACATGGTTAAGTAATGCACTTATTCTTAGCACCATCCACGTGTGTAAGTAACGCACTTTCGTTTAGTACCATCCACATGGTTAAGTAACGCACTTAGTATTAGCACCATGCGCAAAGGTAAGTAACGCACCTACTCTTAGTAGCATCCACATGGGCAAAAAAACTCACGTTCTTCTAGTGTCATCTACATGGGTATGTAACGCACTTTACCTTACCACAATCCACATGGGTAAGAAACGCGCTTAGTCTTAGTGCCATGCACATGGGTAAGTAACCCACTTACTCTTAGTATCATCCAAATGATGACGTAACGCACTTACTTTTGGTACCATCCACATGATTAATGACACACTTATATTAAGTGCGATCCACATGGGTAAGTAACGCACTTACTCCAAGTTGCCTCGGGAAAAGTTCTGCCATTACGAAGTTATGGCTCGGACAGCATTTGCCTAGCGTTGGAGTGCTAGCATACTAGCGTTGACTCGGGTAGCATTCCGCCGTCGAACCGCGTAGAAACGAAATTCCAGCAAGGAAGGAATCCGCTTGAATCACTTTACTATATCCAGGTACAAACAGAGAAGGAATAAATAGTTCTAGCTAGCAAGGACCTTGGAAATCAACCTGGGAACAACCAGGGATGATCCCAAATAATTCCAAGTAACAGAACCAACCTGGCTGGAAAAAATAGCAGGTGGTAGGTTGGTAAACAACCTCTGGTTCTGTTTTTCCAACTTGGGAAAACAACAACCAGGTTCATGTTCTAAAAACAGAACCTGTTTTGTCTTTGCCCAACCAGCCAAATGCTGGTTCTGCTGGTTTCCCCTGGCCTTGTAGCATGCAGATACAGACAAACAACATCCAACTTTCACCTAAATTGTACCCCTATAGTGCCTGCCCTGCTACACTATAATTAACCAAACAAAACAGTACAATTTCAAGTTGGATAGAACTGAATCTGCATAATCAAATAACTGAACTGCAAAGCTTCCATCTTGGGTTCCTTTACGAGCTCGTCCTTTCTGCTTGCACTGTTTATAGCGCGTACAATGTTGTGCCGAAGCGCACATTGCGCGAGTACCTGCAAATGCTTCAAGCGAAAATTACGAAAGCAAAAAGACACACGAACACACCATTCACACGCAAATGCATTCGCACATGCATACTCATACAAAAAGACGGTAGGATGTCGTGCATTTGCACCCAATACACTCCCCCTCAGCCTGCCGGCTGCATCTCCATCATTCCATGCTAGTTCATGCTCATTCCACTCATGCGCACACAACGCCAATGAGGCTCATCCGCAAGCCTCTTAGTGAGAAAGTCTGCTGGCTGCTGGTGGGTCTTAATGTAGATCGGATTCACCGACCCCCTCTTCACCTCCCGACGCAGCTAGTGCCACTTGATACGCATGTGCTTGTTGAGCCCATGAAGCACAGCGTTCCTGGCCATCCCAAGAGCCTCCTTGCTATCACAAAACAACGGGGTAGCAATCATCTGTTCCTGGCCAATCTCCTCTAACAGCCTCCTCAGCCAAATCACCTCCTTCACCCCATGAAACATTGCCATGTACTCTGATTCCACAGAAGAGAGTGCCGTCTCCGTCTGCTTCTTGAACCTCTAACAGGTTTTTCCCCAACTACGCAGATGTATCCTCCCACAGATGAGGAATCCTCCTTCTCAGAAGCCCACGTAGCATCGGTAAAGCAAGTCAGAAA